GCCCCGTTTGTTTGGGGTTATAGGAAGGGGATTGAGACTACTAATACCTTGTTTGTTTTGAGAGATGGCCTTAAGACTACTAATAGCTTGGTATTACTAATACCCTTGGAAGGGGGATTCATAGTGAGGAGGTAGAAATGGTATTAGAAAAATAGTGATATCTTAAATCTTTAGATTTTCCCATTCAGATTAGTAGGGTGCTCAATTTTTTGAATTTATTTGAAAAATTAGTTTGTGCAAATAGACCGACTGTCAAAAGGTTTATGGGATTATTAAAGTTGAATCAACATTGTCATATCTGGGAAATTTTTGTTACCTCATTTGTTAAGAGTAACACACGAATAGTAATCATATAATAGTTTAGATTATTGAGTAATTACCCGACTTTGTGGTATTACCGCACCTGATATTGATTTTATTTATTTATTTATTATTATTATTATTATATATATACGCATTGTTTTATGAAAAAAGAAAAACAAGAACTTTATTCATATAAAAAATGAAAAATTTACCTATAAACTCCATCTCGAAGAATGGTAATCCGATTAGTCTGAAGAATTTTTTTATAGACCAATTAGTCTTATTAATTTTGAAAAGAAAAATTTAATATATTATTTAAAAATTGAATATACAGTTGTACCTTGTGTGTGTGTGGTTATACCTCGTATGTGTGTGTTATAGAAAGATAAGATATATAATCTATAATAATCAAATTTGTGATGAATTTTTATATGGGAATATTTTTTATTTGGAATGACTTGAGATATGAAAATTTTTAAATATTCCAAAAGGATGTGAGATTGTTCAAATATTTCAAAAGGAATACAAAAACTCCTTAGTACGGTTTGAGCAAATGGATAATTTCAATCTATAACACTCTAATATAATAAACTCCCAAAAAAACTCTTTATTATACTTTTTTCCAAACATAACACTCTAATGTAACACTTTAAAAATAAAAACTCCTTAGTGTAGCACTCCAATGTAACACACAAAAAAAAAAAAAAATTGGTATACTTTTTTTAAATGTAATATTCTAATGGCCCTGTTTGGTAGAGCTGTGGGAAAGTGCTTATAACTTATGCCTTAACAGCTTATAGCTTATAACTATGAACATAAGTTGATTTCTGACTTATAAATTAAGCATCTCCTGCCCCACTCAAAGAATAAGTTGATTTCTGACTTACAAAAAACTATAAGCTACATTGTTAAGGTAAACCAAACACATCAAAATAGCTTAAATTAAGCTGAAAGCTGAAATAAGCAGCTTTTAAGCTGCACCAAATAGGCACAATGTAACACTCAAAAAAAAAATATGGGATTCTTCAGACTATTCTAAAAGGATGTGTGATTCTTCAAACCATTTTAAAAGGAGTACAAAAATTCCTTAGTAAGGTAAATGTATAATTTCAAACTGTGAGTATTACGTTTGGAAAAAGTACATTAGGTAGTTTTTTAATATTTGTATGTGAGTTACATTGGAGTGTAACGTTTGAGATTACATTGATTAGAGTGTTAGGTTTAGGAAAAGTATATTAAGGAGTTTTTTGTGTATTAAATAGAAGTGTTACGTTTGGAAAAAGTTCGGAGTGTTACATTGTTACGTTTGGAAAAAGTAAATTAAAGAATTTTTTAGTATGTTACATTGAAGTGTTACATTATTAGAATGTTATATTGGAGTGTTACGTTCTTATTCCTAAAGTGAGATTTGTTCCAAAATAATGAGGAAAAATCCAAAACCTCTATAGTGCGGATTATCCAAATGTGTAATTTCACATTTAGAGAAACTAACTTTCATTCCTTAAAAATTAAACCCAAACATAGAAGTGACTACTCTTTTGTATAATTTCCATTTTAATGAAACCTTAAGTTCATAAGAGAAAAAAAATTAAATAATTTACAAAATCATATTTTAAAATTTATTAATGCTTCATCCATAAAAAAATACATACAAAAAAAACTTCATAAGAATGATATATCAATATCATTCTTATAAATATATTCACTTTTATTGTTATTTTATTTTTTAAATAAAAAATCTATACTGTGCCACGTGATTCTGCACATCAATACTCCTTCATGAAATGTTTAAGGTCCCTTCGTTTACAATGCATTACAACTAATAGTACTCGAATCAAATGAGCATGCTATCACTCATGCTCTTTAATTGCTAAAACATGCTTTTACATATATCATGTGGTTGACTTATTAGAAAAGTTGAGCTCCCTACAACACTAAATTATTATGATTGAAACAAAAAAAAAAAATGAACCTGGAAGGTAGCCTGGCATGCATGGTATATATATACTATTGCACTGGTTCTTGAATGTGTTCATAAAATATTATCTCCAAAAGTACATTTGTGATGATAATAACTGAGGCCATTAAAGTTCAATTCATGCTTTGCATACATTATTAGGACTTCACTTTCGGCTACCAAAGCCAAAATAAATAAATAAATTTAAATAAATATAACTAGATAGACCATATTTGCAAATGATTGAATCCAATGCATGGCACTGTGTCCACATTGACAAACACACTTGTTGGAAGCTTTGTTATATATATATGCTCTCTTTATTTGACTCCACAGCTCATCAGATCAATCGAAAGTCCTCTTTCTATATATATCTACATAGATAGATTTTTAACATACATGCTTATCAATGCTCTTGATTAGGACATTTTGAATCCTATGGAATTTTGGGTGAAAGAAAAAAAGCTGAGGTTGAAAGACATCCTCTTATTGAATGATTGTAACTGAACCCTATTTTACTTTCTGAAAGGCACCAAATTTTGCATGGTTTGAGAGTTTGGGAATGAGATAGTTACTCAAATCATGCTCCCAGTCCTGATCCACCCATTTGTTTATTTTTTAACCAGGTGTGAGCTAATTTGTGCACAACTCCACTAAAATGTGTACTTGCTTAAGCTACATGAGATCTTCTGTCTTCTATCTTCAAATTTCTTTATTATGATATACTAGTATTCTAAATTATTATAGTAGATTATGCTTC